GATTGGTTAATGCCGGCCGGATGTCAGCAAGATGTCAGCCAGCAAAACCCCAGACGTTGCTGTGCGCAGTGCTTCGTGGTGACGTCAACCATTTTGATTTGCAAACAGATGCGCCGCGCAACGGCGTTTGAGATCTCGTCCGACTCGGCCGTAGAGCAATTTGTAGGAATAATGTCCTCATGATCCTCATCTTTTGAGCGATCGAATATATAGTGGGAACATCACTCTCCTTGTGCGTCGCTCGTGGTCTTACCTCCCGAGCGCTTTCGACCATGCAGCTCCACGTCCTCGACGACTACTACCTGGCAATCACTTTCCTGATTACTGTCGCATACCAGCTCTTCTTCTTCTCGATAGCATGGACTCTCAAGTTTGACAAAGTACGCGCTCCGTAGTTCTTGTCACCAGAGTCCTTCGCTGACCACCGTAGCTCACTGACTTTGCCGGCGGCACCAACTTTGCCGTCCTTGCTATAATCACCTTAGCATGGGGCAGCACTGCGCCGGACTGGAATCGCCATGACAATGCGCGCCAGGTCGTCGCCTCGCTTTTTATCATGCTATGGGCGCTGCGTCTGTCCGGCTTCTTGCTCTTCCGCATCCTCAAGACCGGCAAGGACGATCGCTTCGATGACAAGCGCGACAAGTTCTTCCCGTTTCTCGGCTTCTGGGTGTTCCAGATGTTCTGGGTGTGGACGGTGTCTCTGCCTGTAACGCTGCTCAACAGTCCGAATATACAGAAGTATCCTCAGCCTTCGTTCGGCAAGGGCAGCGACATCGCGGGCGTCGTCTTCTGGACCATCGGGTTCTTCATGGAAGCCATTGCGGATATCGAGAAGTACAGATACAAGATGAGACATAAGGGCCCGAGGGAAATCTGCGACAAGGGCTTCTGGGGATTCTCGAGACACCCGAACTATGCTGGGGAGATTCTGGTTCAGTTCTGTATGTTACCGCACCTGGTATTTACTAGATCTGAGACTGACAATCTTCATAGCGATCTATATGCTAGCAGTAACACCAGCAGCAACCCACAGCGTTCGCGGTGGTGCACGCTCGGCACTTTATGCGTCTATAGTCGGCCCTCTCTTCTTGACCATATTGCTCATGTTCGTTTCTGGTCTCACACTGCAGGAGCGTCCAGCAGCCAAGAAGAAGTACGAAAAGGGCGAAGGTTGGCCGGAGTATGCCGCATACCTTCACAGGACGTCAATGCTCATCCCATTTCCGCCTCAGATCTATTCACGCCTGCCAATATGGATGAAGCGCACTATCTTCTTGGAGTTTCCCATATACGTATTTGACCCGAACAAGCACGCAGACAAACAGACTGTGGAGGAACGAGAGGCAGAGGAAGGTGGGCACTCTTCGGCTAATCAAGGTGAAGCAGACCGAGACTGATTGAGGTCGATATATGTTTCTATGCATAGCGCGTCATTACTATAGCATTAATTTAGTGTTGCCGCCTCTCAACCGTGAACAACACTTCTTTATCCGTCTCGACCGTGACCATATCCCGCTTAAGATGATTACTCGAACTGACCTGTCCGCCCATCTCCATCTCCCAATCCTGAACATCCCACTCAAACCCCTCGATAGTAATATGCGCCAGCCCATAAGCCGGCATAATACCCACATTCTGAGTACTCAACCCCTCCGCAAGCGGCACCTCAATCCCCGTCTTACCCTTCAACAGCACAAACGAAATACTCTGCTCGCTAACAAGCCACAACCTAACAGGAGCGCGCCGCAACGCCTCACGCCCGAGCTCACTCACCAGCCCAAGGCCGTGGTCCACTCTGCCCCCCAAGCTGCCGAGCACAACCACGTCCGTGGCACCAGGGAGCGCGCGCAGCGTCTGGCCCACGCATTTCGCCAGGTCGGTGCTGTACTGGTCGTCGTTGAGCGAGACATCCACGCCTTTCCGTGTGTAGAAGTCCCGCACGTCCGGGCGGAGAGAATCGAGGTCGCCGTGGATTAGTGACGGTGTCTGTGTTGCGTTAGTAGGAGACGTAGAAGGGGGAGAGGAAGCGTACCAGGCTCGGATCGAAGTCGTGCAGGCGGTTTGCTCCGCCGTCGGCGCAGATGTGGAATGAGGAGTGCTGCCAGATGTGCTGCAGTATGTCGCCGGCGGGGATGGGCGTGTTGAGGATTACCAGACCTGTTGTGGCCGGGTTGGGCTTGTGGCCAGTAGAGGAAGGCGATCGCAGGAATGGGAGAGGTGAGAGAGTCGTTGTCATATTCAAAGCGAAGAGTAGCCAATGAAGGAATGAAATTGGCGGGATAAATTCTGTATATGCGGCGAAGTGAAAGTGTGGTGTATTTCTGGCAGTGGGGAAAGCGTTTGTGGAAGTTCATCCTCGACTAGAATTTGGGCCTCTTACGAACGAATACACATCTTCTTATTGAGAGAACTATGAAGTCGTCGATCACGAGGGCAAAGTGCTAATAAGTATTCCATTGCAGAATTTTCATGCGTTCGGTCGAAAACTGTTTTCATGTCCATCTAGACTTTCATTGATTTGTTTTACCACTAAGAAGAAAATATTCTAATTCAGCGTGAGCCCCGCATAAATGCCAAACAACAAGACATCCTGCCATTACTTCCCGACATCCTTCCAGCTCTCCGGCTCTACCAATGCCACGCTTACACTTCTCTTGCCATACCCGATGTTGCCCAGCACACCGCGCTTCTGGACAATCGTGGTCTCAGGCTGAGCGCCGGTCAGATAGTTGGTGGGATAAGTGCGGCACGAAGATGTCGAAGTAGACTTTGACGAGCTGGCCGTGACATAGCTGACCACGGTCGCCGTGACCGTCCCTCCGCCGCCACCGCCGGATCCAGTCACTGTGACTGTGCCACCTGAGCCTCCGACTGTTTGCGTAGCGCCGGAGGCAGTGCTGACGCTTACGCTGACACTCACACTGACGCTCGTTGTCGTTACTGTCGCGGTGCTCACGGACATGACGGTCCGTACGCCGTAGGTCGACATATACGTCACGCCGTTCGAGACGTAGGTGGAGACCATGGTGGCGGTGCCGTAGACCGTAGAGGCAGCTGTCCCGGGACCAGTACCTGGGCCAGTACCCGGGCCAGTGCCAGGGCCAGTGCCAGGGCCAGTTCCAGCACCCGTTCCAGGACCCGTTCCAGCACCCGTTCCAGGACCTGTACCAGGACCAGTACCAGGACCAGTACCAGCGCCAGTACCTGCACCAGTTCCTAGGCCAGTGCCTTGGCCTGTTCCTTGGCCTGTCCCTGGGCCTGTCCCTGGGCCTGTGCCCGGACCAATGGGTGCCGCGGTGACAGTGGCATGTCCGCCAGTACCTGTACCACTCCCACCGGAGCCACCACCGCCTGAACCTCCCGAGCCTCCTAATCCTGAGCCACTACCTCCTCCATTACCTCCTCCACTTCCAGAACCACTTCCAGACCCGCTCCCCGAGCCGTTACCCGATCCATTACCAGAGCCACTGCCAGAACCGCTTCCTGAACCACTTCCAGAGCCATTGCCAGTGCCCGAGCCATTGCCGGATCCAGTGCCAGAGCCATTACCAGATCCAGAACCAGACCCACTACCCCCAGAGCCGCTCCCAGATCCTGACCCTCCCGATCCTGACCCAGAACCACTTCCAGAGCCAGACCCATTGCCGGAGCCGAAACCAGTGCCACCGCCGCCGCCGCCGCCGTTGCCGCTCGGGTATGCCGTGGTGATCGGATACCTTGAGAAGCTCGTCTTCCCACCCGGGCCAACTTCAGTGACAGTCCCATAGACGACAGCGGTAGGTCCGAGCCCTGCGGAGCCAGAGCCATGACCATAACCACCACCGCTTCCACCAGAGGAGCCGTCCCCACCTCCCTCACCGCTGCTAAGGGTGATCAACCAAGCAGAGTTCACGTACGACCGCGGCTCCTCTGTCCCACCGGCAGCTTTGAGAGCACAAGTCCCGTCACCAGAGAAAGAAGGCGTGAACGAGACGGCTCTGCATGGCGAAGCGGCGGTGAAGTGAGCGACGTTGTACTTGTCGCATGCGTTGATGCAGTTCGCCAGCGACGTTGTGTAGAGTGAATCGATGGTGTAGGCAGTGATGTAGCTACCGCACGCGATCGAGTATAATTGACCCAGACTGCTGATGAATGTCTCTTTGTTCGATCCTGGACATAGAGGAGGGGCTGTCTGACCATTGCCTGGAGAGCCGCTGCCAGGCCCAATAATAGACGGGCGAGGAGTGGGACGAGGAGTGGTAAAAATGTTGGTCGTGCGTCGAGGGCATGTCAGAGGAGTCGCACAGGACGTTATCGTTGCGGTTGAGAAGATGGTAGTAGTTCCAATTCGTGGGCGGCTGACGCATTGGCTTGTTGGTGCTTGCCGGGCGACCAATGCATGGACCGATGGCATGATGGTCGGTGTCAGGAAGCAGGTGAAGCATAGTGTCACTTCGCCGGATGGTACAGCTGAGGTGAAGAATGCCGCGGTGTTCGAAACAGTCTCTACGATGGTGGTGGTAATGGTTGTATTGGAGGGATAATCTGTGGTAGCGTTAGCATGGTCTTCCCAAATATCTTTGGCTTTCATACCCGTGACTGTCTGCACGACGTCCAGACTTTTAGCAAGAGAGGCTGTAGTGGCCGCTCCATCCAATATGGGATCTGCTGGCGTAGTCTGCCCAAGTGTGCTCCCTGCGGCGGCTACTAGAATCAATAAGAGGACGCGGACATACCACGCAGCAACTGTGTGAACACCCATCTTTCGCAATGTGATTTCAATGCGACAAGATGGAAGCGCTCACCTACCTTTCACAAAGCTGGGGATCTACTTAGCTTCTTGTTGTTCTTGTCCTTGTTGACAAATATGCTGGCGCTCATTTCCCCTTGCATTCCTCATCATGCGAGTAAAAGCCCGCGCTACGTAGCCCGCCAAATGCCGGTTGCCCTGTTCACACTCCATTCCACGGGGCATGGAGTCGATCGATGGACAAAAATGAAAATAGATGGCAAAAATACGAGCGACGCAGGGCTCGAACCTACAACCTTTGGCGATTTGGGGATAACCGAAAACCAACGCGCTACCATTGCGCCAGCCGCCCGGACTCAGGATGAAATTAGAATTTAGAAAAAATATATACACTATCACTCATTATCTCTGATGATTTCTTTACCAAAACCATGGCTAAGGAACCCTAGAATTGTCATTAACTTCCATTTCTTCTGCGATGCTTACTTCTAAGTCTAAAGCTTTTGTCAGAGAGATCAATTGCAAGTGAGATCCTATCTTAGAATTCTACTTTTAGGCCAAACTTGAATCAGACCAGCCTCATCGTTACAAGCCCAGATCAGATTGTTTGCTTCGCTCGTCGGCCCTTCTGTCAGGATGCCTGACCTCATTCAGCTTTGTGTCCGCTTGGTTCAGACAGGCTTTTGGCCACTATGAACGACTCCCTGCGACAAATTCACAGGTATGCAGCCCAGTAAAAGTGGTCGGGCTATTGGCTATCCGCCGCACCTGAAATGGCTCTACAAGTGCAGAGGATCGGACTTCACTTGGGCGGAATCTCGTCCGCGTGTGGACACATTATTGGCGATGGCCATTCGAGCCATGTTGCAGAATATGCATCTTTTGACGCCGAAAATGCTCGAGTGTGTGCCACAGCATTTGAAACAACAGATCTGGTGCAACATTGAACGCTGGTGAGTGAACTCTCTACACTGTTTCAGGACATTGCTGATGGTTGCCAGGGAACTACACAGCATCAGAGCTATTCAACTCTTTGGGTCATGCGCAGTAGCGACACCGGATGGCAGGAGAAGTAACCACATCAAGTTCATTGATCTCAAACACTCTGAGTCTGTCACTGGGCATTCTAGCGATCGGGAAGCCGAATATATGCACATGACAGCCAACAGCACAAGATTCGTCAGCACCTGTTTGGACCACATGGATGCCTTGGACCTTAGTTGGACTACCTCGATCAAATTATCCGACATATCCATCCACTGGGAGGCACTATTAGCCTTGGGCAGGATGCGAAACTTGTTGATCGTCAGCTTCGCGACTTGCAAAATGGACGGTGCGCCCTTTGAGCTGGATGCCACAGTGGCTCGTCGCATCGGGCAACAGGCAGAGAGAGCGGATCACTTCCCGAATGTCACAGCATTTTCTTGGTGTGGTGAACCAGCACGGAAGAGACACTTCGACCCAGTGACCATGTTACCCTATCTCTCGCACCTTGAGTCTTTGAAATACGTATGCATCTTCAAGCCACATAGTATGACAAGTCCGGCACCTCAGCCCACGCAGTGGACGGAGGAAATTCCGTGCGTTTCATAGGAAGCAAATTGCCGATGCCACTAACTATAGTACACAGATCAGATGTCTTCTCGGGCCTTGAGCCCAGCAATATGGTAAGTTGGGAGACTTTGCACAACAGCATATTAGAGCGAACCACGCCACTGCACTCGACAAATGCACCGCATTTTGATATTCGCATCGGCTGCCGTCCCTACCGGCCAGGCGCCTTATCTTTAGCAAGTCGTAATGAATGGCGGCTCTGGGTTAGAAACAATCACCAAAGACCACAACCCACTGCCCCGAGCAAGTCCGTTGAGCAGGTCAGTGACGGACGTAGAAAGCTGCGTGCGTCCCAAAAGAGGAAGCTCGATGACTTATTGGATTTTACGAAATGATCTATAGAAAATTGGCCGCTTCCAGCATGTGTGGTCGTAGTATTGATTGCTCGAGCGTCTGTAGTGCATTCGAATGCCGGCCCGGTACCGGCGTCACTGCCCCGAGCTCGGCACATATCACCAACCACCTGCATCGTTGTCCATGGTGGCTGCAGGGCGGGCTTGTAAGTTGCAGGGCGTATAGGATTGCGGAATGGCAGCAAAAATTTAATGCAAAGTCAGTACACTAATCTCCGGATCTATTTTCCTCGCAGCTCGAACGACTTCCGCCGCCTCGCACGCCAACGTGCTCCCCGCCCAGCGGCCAACACTGCAACAAAGACATTTAGGATGCCGGCAATGCTGGACGATCCGTCTTCTCAACCCAATGTCAGGACATCTGGCGCACCTCCGTTTCCAGGTCCAAATACACCACTTCCAGCAGGCATTGCCCCGCGTCTGTTCACGCTACGCGACTCCGCGACCGCAACACTGCTTCCTTTTGGTTCGCTTTCCGCCGTACCGAAAGGCCTGCTAAGTCGCCTGTCCGCGATCTTCAACGCCGAGATCGCAGCAGGCGACACTTACCCACTGATCGATCCCGTGCCGCTGGAGAGATTTGGTCCATACTGGTTCGGAAACTTTGGCACCGCAGTACTGGCAGGAGACTTGTGCTCACGTGGCCTGGACGGCATTGCGGATCACGAGTGGGATGGACTGGTGCTGGGAAGCTTCTATATCAAGCCCAACTATCCAGGCCGGAGTAGTCACGTCTCAAATGCTGGATTTCTGGTGGCGGAGGGAGCTCGGGGAAAGGGCTTGGGCGGTCTCATGGGAAAGGTGTATATCGATTGGGCGGCAAGGCTGGCGAGTTCAGTTGGCGCTTGGTTATATACTGGGCTAATGTTGATCCAGGGATACACCTACTCGATATTTAATCTCGTCTATGAGACTAACGTGGCATCAATACGCATCTGGGACTCCTTGGGCTTCCAGCGAGTCGGCCGTGTCAAGGGATGCGGTGCGCTGAAGTCCTACCCTGACAGACTGATAGATGCTATCGTCTTTGGCAGAGATCTCGTCGCTTCAGATGCAGACTCATGATGTAATGTATCTGGACGCAGGTATACTGTGTTGTTGATAATTCATGTCTCTAGGACAACATTCACACATGGGCAATTGGTGAAGATTTGCGATCGATGTACTTCGTTCTGTTCTCAGGACTGCTCTCACAGTCTGCTCCACTTTTCTCTGCGCTTCCTTGATTTTCGTTCTTAGTCTTCCCAACCGATTCCTCCTTCCATCTTGACCACAGCTTCTGCCTATTCTGAGTAAGGTGTTCCTTATCAGTTCACGCCTGTTTGTTTCACTCCTTTCGTACGTCTGCGTGTCATTGATACGACCGTATTTGGATTCGTCGCTCAGCTGTCAGCATGGACGAGCCGACAGAGCACGAGAACGAGAGTATGTCATCCTACCGATAGCCATGACTTGATCTTTTCTTCTGGCATGACTGACGTTCTTGACAGGTCCATCGACTTACCAACCCTCGACTTTGATCAGGCTGATCATCGATGGCCCCGAGCTCAATCGTCACACCCACGGACGGATAACTTGCATAGCTAGTCTTCAGCATGTGATGAGCCTTCTAGATCAGTACAGTTACGAGCTTTCTGATCGCAATCCTGAGACCGCACACAAAGGTCAGAAAAGTCCAGCTACCTAGTCTCTTTAGAGAATACAGATCATTGATACTGATGAGGAATGGTAGTCAAATTGACCATCGCTGGTCCAGAGCTAATCGACGCCTTTGACAAAGCCCTTACGTGGAGTACTGTCGTCATGATGAGAGACCATCTCTCAGATGTACGCGGTCATATTCTTCGACACTTAGGATACGAAATAGAAGTACCCGCAACCTTGCAGGACAGTCAGCTCGCACTACCGATCGTGAGTGGATCGCTCTCGACTGTTCAGCAAGCTACCAATGGATTATTTACCTCTGACTCCCGCCGTCGAACAACCAATTCTGCACCTGCTGCGGACGGTGGCGAGACAATGCCTCTACTTGCTCATGGTTTGTCATCGGCTGCACGCCAAGCTACAGAAAGTCCAGATGTCGTCGATGCCGCCCAACAGTCTAACCGCTCTCCGACCGTCGATAGCGTATACGTCATCTCCAATGACACCTCATCGACCTCCTCCTCAGAAGATTCGGATATCACCAGTGATGGCGAGACCCCACTAGCCAAACGAAGGCGTACTACCTCGACCAATCAACAGCCGAAAAGACGAAAAACCAACACTGGATATCAATCCAGCAGCGATGTCAGAAAGGACCGCCCTGGTGCAGGAGGGCTCGTGGGTCAAGACAAAGCTGACTACAATTACAAGCCGAAACGACAGGAGAAGAATCTCCTGGTCCGTGTCCGCAAGAACTTCAAACGCATGATAGGACTTGACCGCGGCATGAAAGAAGCCCCTACCAGATACAAAGGAAAATATCTGGAGGAAAACGAGCAATGGAGGAAGACCATCGACCTGCAGTGCATTGTCTTTGCAGCCACGAAGACCAATGCTGATCTGGTCAAACTTGCAAAAGACGCAACGAGGTGGAACAGAGTCATCTCGAACGCGGACGACATTGAGTGGATCGAAGCACAGATGGAGAAGTTCTACTACGAAATGCTCCCGAAGTTGTCCCAGAGAGACCTCCAGAGCATGTGCAAGAAGTTCTCCAATCTGCTGGATGAGGGGGGCCTATCGTCGTCTTGAGGTTACATTCTGTAGTGAGCAAGGACTGGTCATTGGCTGCAACATACAGGGAAAGACTCTGGACCTAGACAAGAGTAGTATAGAACAAGTCTACAGAAGTCAAGGTCGTCGAATAAAGTTAACAGAGAGGACTCGACCAGAATAAAAAGACATCGACCGCCACGCACAGCCTTGGCCACCGTGACAAATACACTACCTCTGCTCCTCCTGCACCTCCTCGTGAGATACCCATCTCAAAAGACAGGCTCCAGTACATCCGCACCGCCGCCGCAGACGTGCAGCCAAACCACCAGCCCTTCTCCACCACTTATCAAACAGGTGCCACCCTAAAGCGCCCATTCATGCGAGCCGGCGTCTCTGTTCTTCGCCGCTGCGTCACTGTGGCGAAAGACTCGCATGATTATTACGCACTGCTGAAGCATTAGTCCGTCGTGGACCATATTCGGGATCTGGCAACGGTCGCACCGCGCGTCTGCAGTCCGAGAGGCTGTACGTCGGCCATGGGTGTCGACATCAGGGATATATGCTATGGAGAGATTGCTGGCAGCATTGACGCACCAAACCGGGGTCTGAAAAAGCCAGAGTACGCAGTTTGGTATCGGACGTGCTCGATTGGGATCAAAGCGCTCAGAGACTCACAATTATTCAG